ACGTGGGATGACTCTGCTGATGTAGCTGTATCACAGTGATTCAGACTGTGACAAAAACCTCAGAGAGAGACTCAGCAGAGATCTGCTGATTTCTGATCCACATCACAGTCTCAGTGAACCTGGACTGGTCAACCTAAAGAGGTCAACAACATGAAAATAATCCTCTACAGACACAAGAATGTTGGGAATCAGTGCAGCAGTGTTGAGTTGAATAAACAGTGTGATTACAGGAATGAGATGTTGGCAGTGAAAGTTGGTCTCAGCAGGACGTTTCAGTTCCACTCCCCTCATCAGTGAGAGTGGGGAGGTTTTTGTACGGCCATGTGTATGAACTGAATCACTGTGGTATTCGGACAAGGCAGCAAGCTGATTGTCACAGGTAAGAACTTTTCTCTTCTCTCTTTGATCAAAGATTTTTCTGTGTTTCCAGTTGTAATATAGAAGTGGGATTTAAACGTTTTATTTAGTCAGGGTTTGGTGATAGAAATATTTGCTGTTTAGTTTTGTCCTGGCATCAAACTCTGTCGGTGATAAAAATGTATAAAATTAAAAAATGTTATTATATAATAATGTATGTTTAACTGTCTCAGAATACATTTGTTTTGGTCAAATCTGAAATTTATTTTACTGATAAAAACATTTTATATCATAGTAAAACAAACTACAAAGTTTATAATATAAATCTGTTTGGTTTCAGCTTGTTGTCTGTGTTGTTTAGTGAGTGATGGTTTGTTAAATAATTCATTTATTGGTTTTATGTTTTATGAATGGAATTATGTCTATCTGTCTCCAAAAAGTTTTTCTAAATTCTTCAAGTTATTAATGTGATAAAAAACTACAGTATTTCAAATATTTTAGACAATGAATTCTTTACACTATTTATTATTAGTCAATGATTTCAAAGTCTTTTTCTTTCTGTTTCTGTATCTCTGTGTTTCATGACTCCAAATATGTAAATGTGTCTTTTGCTGAAATCATATCTGTCATATTTTAAAGTTGTCCTAAAAAGTATTTGAATGGATTATCCTGATCTTAACCTTGTGATCTTTACTTGTGTTTGTCTTGTCCTGCATGTCTGTCCAGACTCCAGGCTCTCTCCTCCTGTCCTGACTGTCTTCCCTCCGTCCCGCTCTGAGCTCCAGTCCAAAGAAGTCACTCTGGTCTGTCTGTCCAGTCAGTCTGTGCCTTTTGCAGATGTGACCTGGTTGGTTGGTGGGACCACAGTGAACAGTGGCGTCTCCACCAGCACCGCCATTCAGCAACCGGACCAGAGCTTCAGAATCAGCAGCCATCTGACCATCCAGACGTCAGACTGGAACATGGACAAGCGTTACACATGTAAAGTGTCTCTGGGCTCCCAGACTTCAGAGAAAGACATCAACAAGTCCACCTGTGTCACTGAAGAATAACAGAGGAGCAGAACGACCATTGAAAAGCTGCTTCTTTCCTCTTTGTGCTGTTTCTCCTTCAGCTTCAATCTGCTTGGAAAACATGTTGTAGACGTTGGACAGAGCCGTTGGGTCAGATTTGTAGTTGCTGCATTGTATTCAATAAAAGCATTCTGATTAAAACAAAAAGTCTGAAATATTTTGTACTTAATTGTAGTTTGTGTGAAGATATTTTGTACTTTAATTTAACCATCAAATGTTTGATGAAATATTTTGAACCACAGTGACATTACATAAAACATTTCTTTGTTAACATAATAATATCCAGTATCAAATTATATCTGAACAACTAAGTCTCTAAATCTTTCTGTATTCGTCTTAAACTGAGATTATCACATTATGAGAAACAGGATTTTCACCCTCTGTCAGTGAAGCGTCTCTACTCAACATTTGACTAAGTACAGGATGCAGCTGCAGGTCCACTCTCCTTATTTTTATAGCATAAGAACATAACGTAAATTTGAACACAGCAGTTTAATTAAAGCTTCATTCTGTGGATATCTGACCTGCGCTTCTGTTTTTTAAACCTCATCATCTTTGTCAGAAGATGAAGATCATTGAAATGATCCCTGCCAACAATGAAAAATTACTTTTTACGTCTTTTCTTATTTTTTTATCTGGAGGCAAATAAATGTGACAAAGATATAAAAGTAGAGTTAATATAAATTACAAACAGATGATTGAAAAGACAAGGTGTGGCAACAACAAGATGGATTTTAACAATGTAATTAAAACTTAATCAGTAAGAAAACATGTTGTTATTTAAATTAAAGGCCATGTCTGTTTTAATAAACTGTCTTAGTAATTAGACAACCTGATGATATGATATGCAGATACTAATTATTTAACATAGCGCAGAGGTCGACATTTTCTTTAGACTACTACTTTTTAATAAGGTATCTAACAGCTCATATTCTGTACCTTTTATTTAAGAGTGAAGTTGGTAGATGAAACTTGCGTTATTTAAATTAGTCTAAAAATAAGGAGAGGAGACCTGCAGGTGCATCCTGGACAAAAAAAAGTGTTGATGCTTCACTGACTGATTGACATGATGTGAACATTTTGGCACAAATAAAACCAGACATAAAAAAATAACAATTATTATTTTACCTTTAAGATAAATGATTGATTAAAGTTACAATAAAAAATAAAGGACACTAAGAAGTCCATTGTGTATTTATACATTTTATTGTACTTCCTACCAAAAAAAATCACAAAGACATAAACAAATCTAATTGTGTGATAACTGATTTGGTGTCGATGTAGGTAGGAAATATTTCAGTAGAATAAAATGTCTATGAAAATCTTAATTTTTAAGAACCTTTATTTTTGTAACTAATATGACAGTATTGAAAAATCAACTGAGACCATGTTTTAATCAGAATGCTTTTATTGAATACAATGCAGCAACTACAAATCTGACCCAACGGCTCTGTCCAACGTCTACAACATGTTTTCCAAGCAGATTGAAGCTGAAGGAGAAACAGCACAAAGAGGAAAGAAGCAGCTTTTCAATGGTCGTTCTGCTCCTCTGTTATTCTTCAGTGACACAGGTGGACTTGTTGATGTCTTTCTCTGAAGTCTGGGAGCCCAGAGACACTTTACATGTGTAACGCTTGTCCATGTTCCAGTCTGACGTCTGGATGGTCAGATGGCTGCTGATTCTGAAGCTCTGGTCCGGTTGCTGAATGGCGGTGCTGGTGGAGACGCCACTGTTCACTGTGGTCCCACCAACCAACCAGGTCACATCTGCAAAAGGCACAGACTGACTGGACAGACAGACCAGAGTGACTTCTTTGGACTGGAGCTCAGAGCGGGACGGAGGGAAGACAGTCAGGACAGGAGGAGAGAGCCTGGAGTCTGGACAGACATGCAGGACAAGACAAACACAAGTAAAGATCACAAGGTTAAGATCAGGATAATCCATTCAAATACTTTTTAGGACAACTTTAAAATATGACAGATATGATTTCAGCAAAAGACACATTTACATATTTGGAGTCATGAAACACAGAGATACAGAAACAGAAAGAAAAAGACTTTGAAATCATTGACTAATAATAAATAGTGTAAAGAATTCATTGTCTAAAATATTTGAAATACTGTAGTTTTTTATCACATTAATAACTTGAAGAATTTAGAAAAACTTTTTGGAGACAGATAGACATAATTCCATTCATAAAACATAAAACCAATAAATGAATTATTTAACAAACCATCACTCACTAAACAACACAGACAACAAGCTGAAACCAAACAGATTTATATTATAAACTTTGTAGTTTGTTTTACTATGATATAAAATGTTTTTATCAGTAAAATAAATTTCAGATTTGACCAAAACAAATGTATTCTGAGACAGTTAAACATACATTATTATATAATAACATTTTTTAATTTTATACATTTTTATCACCGACAGAGTTTGATGCCAGGACAAAACTAAACAGCAAATATTTCTATCACCAAACCCTGACTAAATAAAACGTTTAAATCCCACTTCTATATTACAACTGGAAACACAGAAAAATCTTTGATCAAAGAGAGAAGAGAAAAGTTCTTACCTGTGACAATCAGCTTGCTGCCTTGTCCGAATACCACAGTGATTCAGTTCATACACATGGCCGTACAAAAACCTCCCCACTCTCACTGATGAGGGGAGTGGAACTGAAACGTCCTGCTGAGACCAACTTTCACTGCCAACATCTCATTCCTGTAATCACACTGTTTATTCAACTCAACACTGCTGCACTGATTCCCAACATTCTTGTGTCTGTAGAGGATTATTTTCATGTTGTTGACCTCTTTAGGTTGACCAGTCCAGGTTCACTGAGACTGTGATGTGGATCAGAAATCAGCAGATCTCTGCTGAGTCTCTCTCTGAGGTTTTTGTCACAGTCTGAATCACTGTGATACAGCTACATCAGCAGAGTCATCCCACGT